TGAGTGTTAGTGTTTTGTGAATCTTTCAAAGCGGTACCAGTGTACAGCAAGGTTTGAAATGCATTGTGTTAGATTTTAACCTTTATACCAAGAATAGGCTGTATTTATTTTTATGTATTTATCTCTATTCTTCCACCAGAATTGTGTGTGGAGAACCTAGATAAATACATCTTAGTTCAATGAAGAAAATAATGATGAAGAAAGTTCAGTAAAGCGAGAATGGTTTAGGTGATTTTGCCTTATAGAATTTTTTAAAAATTACTATACACTAACTCATCCTATGAAGCTTTGTTTGTGAATTATAAGCATATTACAGCCAGAACCATTTAACCCCTAATTTATATCTCTTTTAATACAAAATAGTTCACTGAATATTTTGAAAATCCTGTTATTTACAGAAGCTTATTTTTTACCCAGAGAGAACAAGTCAAGGGAATGTGTGAAATCTGCACTAAGAGAAAGGATTTCAAATCCACCAATGGGATTCATCAAATTACCGGATTACTTCCATAGGTTCAGAAGAAAGTCTTTGACAAAGTTTAAACTCATTCATGATGGTAACTCTAAACAAATTTGGTATAGAAGAAACTTACCTGCAGCACAATAAGGGGCATTTATGAAAAGCTCAAAACTAGCATCATAATCAATGGGGGAGACTAAAAACTTATCTTCTGATATCTGGTCCTAGACAAGGATGCCCACTGTCACCAGGCTATTCCACAGAACTGGACGTTTTGCTCAGAGCAGCCAAACAAAGGGAAAAAGGAAAAGACATCTACATTGGAAATAAAGGCATGCCTTTTTCTGATTTTATATTACACGATAAGATATAAAGAAAATGCTAAGATGCCACCAAAAAGTATTTTGAAAGTAATAAATATTCATTTCTTCCAGTCTGGGAGAAAGGTATATACATAGTATAAATCAGATTAAAGTTACATTGGAAAAAATATCCAAATGACCTTCCATAAGGGAAGACTGGTTGATTTAACATATTTATATCCAAGGAAATAAATATTACATTTCTTAAAATACAAACTATGAATAAAATAAAGCAATGTGAAAACTGGTATGGTCGTCACCAAAGCAGAGTATAATGCTATTTGCTTCAGTGACAATAGTTGTGTGTACCATTGTCTGGGCTTTTGAAGCTCACGCACTGAAGTCACGTCACAAGGTCAGGGAATGGTTGACTTGAATTTTTCCCTTCTTTATGGGATGTGATACTGCTTTGCACAATTTAAAATATTCTTTGGCCAACTTTATCTCATTCTGTCCTTCAGCCTTCCAGGAGCAGGTGTACTGTGTATTGTGCCCACCTGTCTTTGTAATTGCTTATCTTAAACTTAGTGCTTTTGAGATGCCAGAGACATACCCTTCGGGTTCAGTTTACATATTTCTGTTTCTAACTTTGTTTTTTGCATTATTATACCTTTTTGTAAACTGTTTTTCATACCTTATTTATTAAGGTGGAAAGTTATTTTGATGTTGAAATGTGGATGGATAAATGATCCTGCTCTGTGCTAAAATGTCTCAATTAAAACTTTGCCAGCTTATAATGTAAAATATATTCACAGAAAGACATTAAAAATGATAAGAAAATAATTTTTACCCTCTAATAAATATATAAATAGTTTTTTAAATAAATTTGCTTCAAAAACAACTAACACCCCCCCCCACACCGGAAGGATCTTTTTGGCCTGGTATGGTGGCTCATGCCTGTAAATCCTAGTAGTCTAGGAGAACTTGGGAGAATCCTTTAAGCTCAGGAATTCAAGACCAGCTTGAGCAGGAGCCAGAGTCCACTTCTACTAAAAATAGAAAATACTAGCTGGGCATTGCTGTAGGCACCTGCAGTCCCAGCTACTCAGGAGGCTGAGGCAGGGGGATCATTTGAACCATGGAGTTTGAGGTTGCTGTGAGGGAGGCTAATATCACACACTCTAGTCTGGGCGACAGAGTCAGACTCTTTCTGTCTCAAATTTTAAAAAAAGGGGGGGGATATTTTAAATTTTCTCATTTCTTTAATCAGACCTTGGATTTTCTTCTATGACACTAAAAACATCCTGTTTTTTCCACAGTACAGAGGATAAATATTTCCTTTTCCTTTATTTAAAATCTGTTGACTTGTGAGAGTTTAAAAATTTGTATTTGATAATTCTGATTTCATAATTGGAAGAATTTGCTACTATAACATTGAAAATCTTAGCAATAAAACATCTTTGCTTCCCAGTGAGAAGTCCAATTGCGGGCATGCTGACATCTACAGAGCCACAGTCATTTTTGCCGTGATGGATATTTTCATTCTCAACCACCCAAAACAGTAATGAGCTTCAATCAGAGGGGAAAAAATGGTGACTTGGCAAACATAATGAAGTAATCCAGATGACGCCGCCCAGGAGTCCAGTGTGCTCCGAGTCCATCTTCTCTGGTGATCACTGATTGGATTATGGGTGCAGAACATTAAGACATTTTATATACTAATCATATATTTCACTGCATTGATTTCCAGGCTTCAAATAAAAACTGTACCTGAATCCTTTTCTATGGGGAACTACAATTCCTGTAGATTCTGTTGGAAAGCAGCACAGATCCCTTTTACTAAACAGGTCACAGGGCTGCACCACCATTCATGCTTGGGAACTACAGGAAAGGGCAGTAAAGAGCACAGGTTGATATTCACACCTGCTCTTCTGTCAGAGGCATTCCTCTGTCTCTGAGCTACTTACAGTGACCTTGACCTGTGTGACGTTGTGGTAGAGGCACAATCTTACTCTCATCTTCCTAAATCATTTTCTTCAGCTTAAAAAATTTATAGGGAACTACGTTAATAGATTTGGAACTTTAATAACACACTTGATGGACACACCATTGATTTAATACTTGCCACAAAGCTCAAAGTTAATTCCCATTTATTGTTCAAAGCCATTCTTAGGTATTACATTTTGCCATTTGGAAATGGAAACCAGATATATCTTACAACCTGGAGGTCACAGAACTACTTAAATTTCTGTATTATCCCCTACACTTATTCGTAAAGTCAACAATTCCTTTGTTTGTTCCTCTTTGTTTTAGGCATTTTTCAAATATAACAAACACAAACAAAAATATTAGTTCTCATCATTTCACCTAAAAACCACAAGGTCCTTTTATCCTTTATCTGCTTTCCAGGAAACTAAGTACAAGATGTTTCGCCACACCGTGAAATGGGATTCTATCATTCTGGCTTCCAACATATTTTTTTTTACCACTAACTTCTGACATCAGAGAGGCATCTTAAGATTCATTTCTCTTTCATTATTTTAATGACTACTTCAGTTAGCTTCCACCTAATTTTCTGTTGTTTTGTTTTTATCTTTTTCCTCCTTTCTTATTTGGGTAGGTTTTTGTTTTGCAGTAACAACATATATCTAAAGTCTCAGTGGCTCACACTAATAATGAATACTGACTTTTACCTGTATGGGGTTCATAGTGGTTCAGCAAAGCCCCTGTCCCATGATTTCCTTATTTCAGGACTCATGCTGAGAGATTAATGCCGGCCTCAGGACGTGAGACCGTAGTAAAGATACTTGGGAAAGTGAAATGGAGCCCTGCGTTGGCTCTGAAAGCCTGTGACAGCCACTGGGGCGCATGGCTTCTCCTCATAAGGCATTGGTGAAGCAAACGTCATGTGGCCCATCCCAGCCCAACACTGGTGATGCGGGACATGTAATCCTACCAGAGGAGCAAAGAATAGAACCATCCTTATGAGCACAGCTCATTTTTTTAAGTTACCCAATTAGATTCCTGAATCAGATCTTTGGAGACTAACAGTTTTTTAGCCCATAGACTCTAGAAGATATCACCATTTCCTTGCCACTTTTAGTCCAAAACTATTTCTTAAAGCCTATATTGACTGATGTTCATTCACCATTTCCGCACAAAAAATACTGCATGTTAAAACTATTCACAGGAATAATGGCTACAGTAAAACACAAACATAAGATGATTCTCTTGAGCCTTTGAATATCAGTACAAAATACATACATATCTTCACATCTGGAGACATATTAAGGATAAACCACCTGCCCACAAGACCCTATCAGTAGGATCAGAGGATGATGTAGAAGCCTCACTGGTGGAATGATTCTGATTTAATGCAACATTGTTGGAGAAGAAGCTCTTGCAGCTTGATTGGAATAGCTTTGATTAACAAGTAAATACCAAAATGTGAAAGTGTTCTGTTATTAAATTACAACATGAAAAAAAAAAAACAGACTTTTTTCCAGATCTCCAACTGTTAGCTATTATATGGAAATTATTTTTCTAACCAGGGATCTCAGCTTTTTGCCTCAAAAGTTGTTGACCAGGAGCAGGTGCAGTTACTGGAACGCCATCTGAGATGATGCTGCCATGTGGTGACAGTGCCACAACCACACTGACATTAGAGACTGCGTTTCTTTTAAAAAAAAAATTGTGTTGTTTGTAACTTCCACTGAAATCACCCCACAGACACAGGAGTGCTGTCAGGATAATACCCCGATACACCATCTGATATGCTCCATAAACCATCAGTGAGTTGACCTTACGCCATGAAATGAGATACTGAAATTCTCTTGAACACAAGAGAGCACGAGGGAGAAGACATATCATAATATATAATCACAACATATTTCTCTACTACATATGCTTAAATCTCAAAGCTTAAAACACCAAGCTTTGATGAGACTATGCCCATATCTAAATGCACATATACACAAACATACTCTCACGCAATGGACCAGGCTGAAACACTGAAGCTATACCATTCATACAGGATTTATCATGAATACCTGCACACTTCCTATGCAAGCTTTTGTCTCTTTTCCTTGACAATTCTTAGTTGATTTTGTCATAAAAATGTAAAGGCTTTCATCCCAATGAATGTCATGTGTCAATAAAGGAGAAAATACTACATATGTGCTATAAAAGGCTATTTGAAGCTATCAGAGTGTGTTTCCATAGACAGCTGTAGCTAGTACCTCAACTTCCTTCTGGTGGAGTCTCTGCTTTAGTTCTTCCACTCGAGCTCTCAGTTTCTTCACCTCCGCCTCATCTTGAGCTGCTTGGTCATTCGCATGAGTCAGTTCTGTGATTATTGTCTGGTGTTGTCTGCTTAGTTTAGAGTGGGCATGTTGAAGATTCGATGGTTCCTTTCAAAAGAAAACAGAGATGACATTATTTATAATCTGCTCTATTGACAGAGTCGGAAAATTGCAAATTCTTTTGATAAAGGAGAAAAGCACGTGGGAGGAATTCAGTGACTCATCCCCTTCATCTGGAACTCTACGTTGCTATAATCCAATATTATGATTAGCATTTGTTTAAAATGCATGGTTAAATTATCTTAGGAAAACTAGACAGACAATTGAAAATAGAATCTTTTTCACATCTCAAACCAATAATAATATTAATAATGATGAATCATAGACTTAAAAGTTTTTTAAAAGCCATAAAATACTGAAAAATATTGTAAAAACCAGATGTGTTGGGATTTTTTTAACATTAAGTAGAGGAAGTTTTTCTAAATTTGATCTCAAATCATAGATCATAAAATGATCCATTCAACTTTAATAGATGTACTATTGGTGTATAGCAAATAAAATAGTATGTCCTACCCAGAAAATGGGGTAACAAGAGGCAAATTCTTTACCATATGAAAAGTTATATAAAGTGGATATGAATTAGCTGGATATAAAATATGAAAGAACAGAGTTCATAGGAAAGATAATAGGATGTCTATTAAATGTTGAAAGATATTCCACTTTACTCAAAATTAGGAAAATTGATGCCAATTTACACAAAATTTTAAGAATGGAGAACAGGTTAGTGGCAGCCTGGAGTTAAAGATGAAGTAGGAAGAGACCCCAAAGATGTGGAGTGGCTCTGGGAAGGCAGCAGCAGGGACCCTGGTCCTCATAGAAAGGCTCCCCTTTGAGTGCATAAGAGCCAGAGTCCTGGATGCCCTGTTGTGTAATAGTTTTGCAAGATGATGCCATTGGGGAAAACTGGGTAAAGAGGCCAGATCTCTCTGTAGTATCTCTTGCACCTGCATATCAGTCTATAATTATCAAAAGTAAAAAGCTTAAGAAAAATGCATCGAGGAGTTATTTTTCATGTCTTCATACTGGCCAGGGTTTAGCATGATGACATAATCTGCCAGTAAAACGTAGAAAAATGGGACTCATCCATGAAGAAACATTGGCGATACTCTTGAACAATGCACATGTACCAGGAAACAGTGGTCCTTTTCCAAGGAATACAGTCTACAGTTATATGCACATCATTGTTGATGTTGTCAAAAAATGATTAAAAACTAAATTTCCATCCTATGGAGCTGGTTAAATTGAAAAAACAATTAAACCATGGAGTATGATATTGCAATCTTTTGTATCCTGATCAGAAAATATTTCCAAGCTAATTTATTAAGTAAAATCCAAAACTGTGTGTGAAGTAGTACAGGAAAAAGAGTAATATAAAGTGACTTGATATGACACAAGTGATTATATGCCTGAAGTCCTGTGGAGGGTGTGGGCTGCACAGTAAGTCTTGGCAGAGAAACCACTGACTGTAATTCCTAGGAGGCCAAGAAAAAGAAGTAGACGGCCACCAAGCCTACCAGCCCCTGCCCCTGCCCCTGCTCCAGCCTCTCCCATGCCAAGAATCCCTCCTGGTAGCCACTGAAATCCTGAACATAAGATGGAGAGGAAATTCCAGGCATAGGTGCCCCGTACATCCCACCCCCAGACCGTCCAGAGGAGTCAGAATCACAGCCTTTGATACTTCAACCTGACCGATGTCCATAGTCAGTGTCACACAGGATTGGATTAGGCAGCAAGAGTCCGGGCATTCAAACTGTCTGGCCAGATGGGCTTGCCATGGTCATTCCAAGGAATACTGAGGTTTATGACATCACTGCAGTGTTTTAACTGAATCACCTCACAAACCACATTTAAAATACAATCGGTTTCCTTATTCCTTCCCTTTGGAACACAATTTTCAAATATTAAGTTTTGTATTTCATTCTTTCACACACAGAAAAAAATGTACTAGGGAAGACAATTCTATTATTCAGAACAACAATGGAACATTTAAAGATCTTTCTTGACCTGTCAAACATAAGTAACGAATTTACTGCAAAAATAACGCAGAGTTTAATGGAAAAGTAATAACTTCGTGCAAAATGATGGCTTTTTCTCAGGAATTATGCATCTCATTTCAATTACTCTTGTGACTTAGCAAAATTATCTCTCAGTCAATGCTTTGTCATTTGGATTGTAAAATTTACTTAAACTGATGTGAAAGGAGTTAAGCAAACAAAAAGCTTTGAGATGAACCTGTAAAGGGAGGGAAGGGAGAAAGGGAAGTAAGAGAGGAAAAACACGGCTGTTTGGCAATGCAAACTTTACCATCCCCATCGGTCGGCTGTTTGGCAATGCAAACTTTACCGTCCCCATTGGTCGACTCCTAAGCAGGGCCTCAGCCTTCATATGCTGAGTTTGGCAGATTTCTCAGGGAAGGTCAACTTACTCTCAGACCCAGGCGGTGAATATGGCTCTAAGTTTATTCTCAATGAGGAGCACCCAAGCCAGCAGCATAGGTCTTATTTTAGAACTTCATTTTAGACCTACCAAATCTGAAACTCAGGGAATAGACACCAAGTCCTCCAGATGTTTCCGATTCAGCTTAAGTTTGAGAACAATTGGTGATAAGCTGATTCCAGTAAGCGTTGCTCCTACCAGTGACTGGTGTAGACAGACAGATATAACCCAGCTGAACAATGAGATATAAGGAGAAGTCCTTTTGGATGGGAAAGATGTTCAAGATTTACTGTCACTTAAACATATTTTTAAAAGACACGTGCTTAAAGTCACAACAGCAATCTGGGCCGGTAGGGAGGTCCCACTTACACGTGAGGTTGGCTGACCTGGTCTATCTGGGCATTTTCTGTCATTTGAGAAAATACGCCCAATTTTATCTAGACTTATAGCCAGGTGCATCCTAATTATGTTCATAGGGTCCCTATTAATAAAGATGAAAGCTGGATTTCTCATTAAGGAGCAAATCATATTGTTTCATTAACACAAAGTTTTTGTTTGTGTTTTTACAAAACCAGTTTAAAGTGAAAGGGATTGTGTTTGCCGAGTGCCTAATACGTGGTACATTTTTCAGATGCTTTCTCTGTCTCAGTGCACATGACACTCCTCTGTCGAGGGTAATATTTCCCCTACTCAGTCTCAGAGAGACCATGCAAATTGCTATCACCAACCTCATTGTAATTAACTTTCATCAAAATGATATCACATGCCTGCGTTTAATCTTGTTATTAAGACTAATATTCAGGATTGGACAATTTCTTTGACATTCTCATTCTTAATTAATACCCCTTCTATTTTACTTTCAGTGGAACAGATGAAATCTTCTTTAATTCTCAAAGCTATGGGCTTTGCCGCTATCCCATTGTTTTGGTAATCTTGGGATAAGAAAGGGATAGGAACTCCCTCCCCCCACCCCCCCCACCCCCCGCCTACATTCACTTCTTTCTTCCCATACATGTTTCAGTAAATGGCAATGGTCTGTAGGCTCACGCACCATAATTAAATGCGTATATTTGATGCTATTATCTGAAACCTGAATATCCCCTGTAACTTGCTAATAGATGTATAATTGGAAGACACTCCAAATAGATATTCATTTGAACAGTTAAATGTTTGCAATTCAAAAGAGAATTAGGGAGATAGTGAAGACATATATGGACCTTGAAGCAAGTTCATTATACTATATTTTAATGGTAGAAATAGATAATGATGAGGTATGTTTTTATTTTATTTTGGAAGTGAAAAATTAGAAATTTAAAAATTTTAAAATGTACATATATATAATACTACAGATTACTTGTCAGCACACAATCCTCTATAAATTTAAATCTACACAACTGGACAGTAAATATAATTCATAATATTTTGGCAAATGGATCTGAATGATGGTATCAGATAATAATATGGAAAAGAAACACAAAGTGTATTTGCACATAAATGTTTTTAAATTGTAACATAGTATGAATTCCTCAAGTACACTAACTCAGATTTTATTGATATAAACATTTGATGGAATGCTTTAAAATTTGTGGATGGCTTAGGAAGTGATGCATTCAGTTATGCTGTTATGCATATAAGTGTGGAAGAGTGTCTTGCTGTCTACCTAGAAGTAACTGTGTATCCGTTACATCCAGTACTGAGGCATATGCGATTTTGGTTGGGGCAAACTGACAAAACTAAAATACATTTTCTTATACATAAAATGACGTAACTAGGGGCTGGTAAATATAAATCAAATCCGCTTACAAGCATTTATGTGAAGGAAAAACAAAATGAAAGAATTCCTAACTACAGGGAAACTAAAAGTGTTTATTATACACGGTCTTTCTATCCCTTCAAATCGTAAACGTCCGTAGAAATGAAAAGTTTCTTCATCTTTAATTTCAAAGGTACATGCTAATACCATACTGATTTGAGGATAACACGACATTCACAATATAATATATGGCCCAATTATATTCAAAAGAGAAAACAACTTGGAAAATTGAAAGTAAGCTGCTCATCGTCTGCTGACAGCCTTGGTCTACACCAGCTGCGTGTAATAACGCCGTCCACAAAGGCAGTTTTCTCTTCTCTGCAGTTGACTCAGATAACACTGGATTGTTATCACAAACAAATGTGCACACTTCAATACATTAAAAAGGTCCCATTCAAATTAAGCATATTATAAAAATAATCTTGTACACCCGCCTACATTGAAGGTTAAATATCATTTTATCTAATTATTACCCTAGAAATGATAGAAATCAGAGGACCACACATCTTCACCAATAATACATTCAATGTTATTCACAAATCTATGTATGATTCAGTGTGACAGATGATAGCTTTAGAATACAAGCATTTTAGGGGTCTTCATTAGCACTGTCAGTGGGTTCATTTCAGAAGTTATGTGTTAAATATAAATAACGTGATTTAGTGCTAGCTGTAGGGTTGACATCACACCAATCATTCATTCAACAAGCATTCACAAAGCATCCACCATGTGCCAATAACCTGCTATGCATTTTATATGTGGAAGCAAACAAGGCAGGTATGATCTCTAACCTTGTTGA